CGAATTATCGCCCACTGAACAGTGACATAATGGGATTTGTATGCACGATGTTGAAAAAATTACATCCTTTTTTACCCCATTATTCATCCAACTTAATTCCAAATGTATTTTTTAATTATATTTTCCATCATCACGTTTTCTGACATTTACTACGCATTTTTTTCGATGGAATTTCGACTTTTTCGCAAATAAATTAAACGATTATAATATGTTTCAATTAATATATGAGCTTTTGTTGACAATTGCGTAAAACCGTAATTTTACGAAAAAAACAGTTCCCTTTTCAAAGGTTACATTATTATAAAAGAGAAAAAAAGGTCAATAAATGTTTGCATGTGCGATATTACATTTTTTATACACTATTCATGGAGCTAAATATATGAAACCTAATCCAAATAGAAAAATCTCGTGAAAAAGCTCATTTGCACTGGATTGAAAAGCTCATGCGCTGAATTTCGCGAAAATAATTTGATCATAAATGCATATAGACAAGTTTTTGCAAATTTTTAATATGCTGCATCTCTGCAGGGCATAATTCTCCTCTGAACGACGTGAAAGGGGCGAAGCACGAGGGGTGAGTTTGGCAAATAAATTGTTGGTATTTGAAACATATATCCTGCCCTATTCGGACACTTTCTCGCCCCAAAATCCCCGTTTCGTGCGTCTATGAGGGGATGGCCGAGAAATTTATATCGGCAATGGATGTGGCCTACCCCAAAATCGACTCATGTAGGGTCGTTCCATCACTTTATGAGGGTGTGAATCGTATTGTTGCGGTGTGACTGTGCACGTGTGGAGGACTGCATGATTTCCCTGTGTATTTTATTTTAAAGCTCCCAATGCCATTCCTTTGTTTTGCCATTTATCACAGGAGAATTCTAAACACGTCCTTAGTGGCGCTATTCATGGAAATCCCCAGCCCGAGAGCCTCGCACTTCGCACTGTAGTTTTCATTTCTAGCGGTGGCGCGCGAAAGTGTTTGCAGATTTTACCCAAAATGACTTATGACACTTTGATATTGCGGATTTTATAGGGAGAGTTAAATTCTGATTCGGGGTTTCACACTCCCCAAACCCGCGCACACACGCGCGTACAAATTGGGCGGTTGCGAGAGGAATTGACTGTTGGGCGTGGATGAGAGATTGAACCTCCGGATGGATATAAAGTTAATCTCGCGTAATGTTTGAATTACAATTTCTGCTCATGTAACAGCGATAAATTGTGCCCAAGGGCGACGGATGTTGCGTGTTTTTGGGGGTGAGGTTTGTCGAAAAGAGCCGATATTAATAAATTCGCCCGGGGGCGAAAGTCGCGCGTTGTGCTCTTGTAGTCTCAATGGGGCGCCGGATGCTGTGAAAGCTCTCCATATTTTTTTTCCCACACCCCCAAAAAGCAGCCGCACACAAATGCCACCGGCCGCCTCTTCCGGTGGGCAGGGAGTGATGGAATGACGAAAAATGTCCAGACGATGGAAATTACAAACAACACATTCAGCTGCTGCAGATCCCATTAATCATTCTTCTGTGTCTTCTGCCGCATAAGGATTGAGAGGCCTCGAGACCGCACGAGGAGGCGCTCGAAACCACTTAAGTTTGCGTCAATTTGGAGATTTGGGAGTGACAAGGAGGATATGAAATTTCCTAGAATGGAATTCCAATTCTTCAGTCAATGACTGAAGAGACGCTTCCCGAAATGTCTCACTGTATCTCGCGAAAAGGAAGCCTTCAAATCTCCCAAGGGTGAGAAATTGACTTACATTTATTAAAAGTTCATATAAATATTTTTAGGAAATCCTTGAAATTTCGAGGAACACTGTAGGAGAATTTCGTGGAATTTATGTGAATTCTGAGGAATTCACAGGAATTCAAAAGCCGGACTTCGTTCAATTAAAATCCTCGGCATTGTCCTTCTGCTCAATTCTCGGGTGTAATTGGATTTTTTCGTGTTCCCAATTCGTTTGAATTAAAAATCAATTTTTTACAACACACGAAATGTTCAATTTTTCGCTCGTCATGTGACTTAGCATGGAAATTGCAAAAATTTGCATAATGCTTTAATTAAGGCCGGCAATACATCTGGAGTGCGCACAGCATTTCGGACTATAAATACCGGAAGATGAGTGGGTGGTGCTGGCCGAATTCCCGCCGAGTGAGCTTTTGAGGGGCGCTTGACAAATGAAACTGGAAAAGCGTGAATTTCGACTCATTACCCGGTGTGCTGAAGTCAAGAAAAATGGGCAAGGCGCTTTTTTGTGCCGCTCACTGTAAGCCGTATGCGGAGGTGATGTCATTAATTTCCCTCGTGATTAAATTTCGCCCATTTAGCAAAGACAGAATGCATACAAATTACACCGAGCTTTTTCTGCATGACTTCACACTGTGAAGTCAGCGTGAGGACAAATGCAAAGGACTACGCAAGGGAAAGCCATCGATGGGCGATGAATTAATTCACTGAATACGAGATGAAGCAACTTTTGCCTCCTCATCGTGACCCAAAAATATTCACTCACGCCACATTAATGTCCCCATGGCAGGTGTAGATTAATTCATTTGGAAAATATACTAAATTTGGCACGGAGTGTAATGAGATTCCGGTCCTTCGTGGCACATGTGGCGATAAAAAGGACATTCCTCGGCGGAGGGAAAAAGTTGTGTGAAGTGAAGGAAGTCATGTGAAGTTAAGTTAATGTTTCTATCACTCACAATTTGGTGCCTTTGAGTCTGGAAAAGAAGAACAATTGCAAACTTCATGAATATGCTCAGCATGGCACATTTCCAAGGCATGGATGGAAAATTTAATTCACCAAAGACTTTTCAGCTAAGTGCGTCTTTCCAATCTATCAGTGGGAGAGCAATTCATCAATTTGTCTATGGTTAATGGCTATGCAATTGGTGAAATTCACATTCAATGCCGTGATTGATGGCATTTCTTCCCGCTTTCATGCGCCCAATTACTTCATCTTCGCCCAGTAAATTTTAAAGGTAAACATCGTCAATTTTGAATGAGTGATTTTTCATTCTAAACTCCACAATTTTCTTTCAAACATCGAGGCGGAGCATCACTTATTGATAAGGGCACGTCTGACGGAACTCCAGGAATGACAGATGAAAGATCCAGATTAGCCAGGAGAGAAATCATTAAAATTCAGCCAGTGTGTGTGCGAGGCGGGGAAAATCAGTAAAAGAAATCATGAAATGCGGGTGAAAATATATGGAATCCCTAGTCTAAATTGATGTTTCGTGAATTAACTTAGTGATGCGGAAGTGAAAGTTCACGCTTGATTTGCCAAATCGATTCTTATCCGGTGTATATTAAAAGGGGAAGCTGAGGCCAATGCTTTCTGAGCTTGTTTGCGACCCAATCCATATACATACGCGCGTCCCCAATTTCCTGCGAACCTCCTCCGCCCACGGAGACCCTGTCAATCCTGGCCTGAGCCCCATGGGGGCCGCTCAGGCAGTCACACGACGATTTGACGTGTGCATCAAGTGATGAGTCCCCAAACACACACGAAACCCAGTGAAAAGCCTTCAATGCGGAGAGACTTATTGATCGACTTCAATAGATTAATAATTTAATTGGGTAAGCGAAGCCTCTTCGACTTCCTCCGGCGTTTCAACAGTCATCCTCGTCCGCATTCCAGCCAATCCCACGATTCTGTGCCACATTATGAACTTTTCATATTGAATTGAAAAAGAGTTACACATGTTGATTTACAAAGCTCGCAAATCCTTTTCTCGTCCTCCCAAGTCGAGCGGCTGGAGGTAAATAATCCAGTTTGTATATTTGAATTGCGGATACCCAAAGGTGGGGTTGCGCCATTGTGTGAAAACAATGTTATTATTAAATCTAACTCCAGCTCAATCACATTTTCCCCCAATTTTCAATGGCAATTCCACATTTCCCCCCCCGCCCATGAAGCATTCCCTTTCCGGGAACCTGCGGCACACTTTCCACGCTGTGCTCGAGAGTGGATTTGAAATCCTAAGGAGTCTGTTAGACACACACACTGTATAATGTGAGCAGGACACGAACGTAAAAAGACACGAAGAAGAGACAATGCATGAGGAAAAAATCACAGAACTGGAGAGCGCTCGTTAGAAAGTGGGACATGTGCTTTTTGTGGTTGATTCTGAAGTAGATTTCTATACTTAATTTAACACTGAAGAGGTTAGAAGATAAAAGTTCCGCGCATGGTTTTGCTTTTTCTACCCATTGTAGTAAATTCAGGCGTACAATCGAAAACCCACGATTGGAAACCCCTAGATTGATGACATGAGTCGTCAACAGAGGGCTAGGTCCTCACGCGAACGGAGAGAGGTGAACTCACTTGGCTTTCGATGCTGTGAGTCAGTCTCCTCTGAGTGGTTGAAGTTCGCCTGTCGATCCGCACCTTCGGGAGCCCATTCATAGGATTTACCCCCCCTCTATCGAGTCATCCTAAATTCGCTACATTTATCAGAAGTGGGATAGTGACCCGCGTGACACGGGAGTGTTAGCAGAGTGAATTTAGTGAGAATGGCCCCGACGCGATCGCGAGTGAAAAGAGTGAAAAAGTGGTGTGAGTGCATCGCAAAATGGCGGCCATTGCAGAGCGGCGAAACTTCGAGAACAATCGCCGTGACGCAACCGCATGGCAGGAATGAGTACCCAGCGATGGGCAGGATCATCTGGGCATCGCCAGGAGTGCATCAGAGAATCCTGAGCTACTCCCGGACAGCGATATCGAGGAGGAGGAGCAGCAGAATGAGGCGAAAAGGCGGTGAAGTGTTTCACAATGTTGCAATTCTGTTGGTGAATGATGCGTGCGTGATGGGCCCATGGCGTGAATTGAGCGGTGTGAATGAGTTCTCTGTGTGAGATAACATGATTCTTAGCTTTTCAGGAGATAAAAGCTCATTTTCAGGTGATAAAGACGCATTTTCTGAATGACCGGTAAGTCAATCAGATTTGAATTTCAAAAATGTCCCAAAATGTCCCATGAAATTTCCCTTCGGGTAGCGCCGATGGTGTCGCATAGAGGAAACATTCGCGACTTCTCTCCATCGCGGCCATAATGGATTTTGTCACTTGAACTTCCGGTCGTCAAAACGTGGAAGAAAAGAGGAGAAAACACAGTGATTTGACGGGTGAATTATTTGCAAGTGAATTTTGAGCGGATTTTGGAGTTTTATCAGTGGAAATCAGCAACAAGGAGAGTGTGCAGGTAATGCGCAAGGAGTCAATGGCAAGGCTGAAGTGAAGAATTGGAAATTAACGTGGAAATTTTGTGTTTTTCTACAGACATGCCTCGATGTCCCCGCAGTCGTGGAGATGGTGGAAACGAGACACCGGCTCTGGGAGTAGACACGGTGCAATTCTCCTCAGTGATTGGGCCATGCGAGATTCCAGCAATCATCCAGAAGTTCGATCCCGATCAGAGTGACTGCATTGCCACGGACAGCTGGTTATACGAGGTGGAGGCAGCCAAGCTCATGTATGGCTGGGATGAGAAGCGCAGTGTGCTGTACGCGTCCATGCAACTCCGAGGACCTGCCCGGACGTGGTACGATGCCGAGAAAACACGTCTTTCTTCGTGGAGCGTGTTTAAAAAGGAGATAAAGGACATGTTCCCGACCAAAGTGGATGCCACAGAGATCCACTACAAGTTGAACCGTCGCAAGAGAGCGCGCAATGAGACGATTATCGCATATTTCCATTCCATGCTGGCACTTGCGCGCAAGATTAAGTTGGATGATGACAGCCTCATACGATACATCATCAAGGGGTTGGAATCTGAGGCCAGACGTGTGGTCTTATCAACGCAGAAGTTCGCAACTCCTCAAGAGCTACTGCATGCCTTGATTGAGACGGAACCGACAGATTATTCCATGGACAGTGGAAAACATGGACGTGATCGTTCGCCGAGATCTCCCGGAAGCAATCAGGTGAAGAAGGAAGGCAAGAGGATTCGGGCTTGCTATGGATGCAAGTCAAAGGAACATCTGATTGCTGATTGTCCCGAATATAAGTGAGCAGTTGAAGGTGTACACAGTCGAAATAAAAGTGACTGCCAGAGATTGATTGTGGTGATAGTGACTTCCTGGTGTGGAATAATGGCATTTATTTTAGCAATTCTTCCTGGTGTGGAACAGCGGCATTCTTAGAATCTTCCTGGTGTGGAACAGTGACATTTTCTCCCAACTTTTCCTGGTGTGGAACAGCGATATTCTCTCATGACTCTTCCTGGTGTGGAATAGCGGCACCCTCTGGAATCCCTCCTGGTGTGGAATAATATTGATGTCAAAATGAATTTTCCCTAGGAATCGCTAGTGGTCTCTTTCGTGGATTGACCAGACTCTTTAGTGGACATAGCGATGCTGAACGAACGGTCTACGTGACAGTCTACGTGACAGTCTACGTGACAGTCTACGTGACAGTCTACGTGACGGCCTACGTGACAGTCTACGTGACGATCTAAGTGATTATTCCGTCGCTGTATAAGTTACGGCTCGATGGTGGTCTAAGTGGCGAGCCTATGACAGTATAAGTTACAGTCGGAATAGGTGAACAGAGACAGTATAAGTTATAGTCTCGAGGAATGAACGCAACCATCGTTGGATTAGTTGGATAGGTTCCTACGCCTAGGCAGGATGTAATAGCTAAGTGTCATACACATTTCCGTAGGACAATCGGCCGGGAATAGGATAGCTACCCTTAATGATCAAGTGGGAATCCCAGGGAATGATCTTTGATTCCGCCTAAACGGCAACCATCAATGAGGTCATTGAATAGGTCAGGAAAGGCCGAGTTGTAGTAAATTCAGGCGTACAATCGAAAACCCACGATTGGAAACCCCTAGATTGATGACATGAGTCGTCAACAGAGGGCTAGGTCCTCACGCGAACGGAGAGAGGTGAACTCACTTGGCTTTCGATGCTGTGAGTCAGTCTCCTCTGAGTGGTTGAAGTTCGCCTGTCGATCCGCACCTTCGGGAGCCCATTCATAGGATTTACCCCCCCTCTATCGAGTCATCCTAAATTCGCTACACCATTTAATGGTTATTCGCGAAAATGATTTCACGAGGTTTTATAGTTTCATGAGAACATTGCGAGAATTTTTCCCAGACCATGAAAACTCAATGAACGAGGAGGAACTTAAGAAAATTGCACTTAGGGAAATTGAAATAGAAATTGACATTTTTGTACCAAAGCAAGTGAACAAAGTCCAGTGCAGTAAATACAACACAACGTTCACAGTCAGGATTCAAATTTCGTCAAAACGCCCCTACGATGCCTCACTTGGCCCCCTAGACCCTCAGGTTCTTCTCCTGGAGCCTATTTTCCATTTTCCCCCACTTTGCCGCACATATATGCTCATATCTCGCCCAATTTTTCACAGATTTTCCCCAAATTAGGCTCAAATGATAGATATTGAAATTATCTACTATTTTGTAAAACATTGTAGGAACTTTAGATCACTCCTTGCTGGTCAAAAACGTTGCTTTGTGCGCCACTCAGTTATAAAAATTCGCTGGTTTTTTGGATACATTTTAGTAAATATCTCTGAAACGAAAAAAAACTTTTATGTTAGATTATTTTTCCCTATGTATAGAGCACTTCTGGGGCTACATTTCCCCACAAAAGTGTGGTTTTTGTGCCCTAGTGTTATTCAGCTGTTGTACCTCATTAGCTAGAGTTTTTTTTAATCCATAAAATTGTCGTCTATGAGTTAAATGAATGATTTGCCACAGAAATGTTAAGAGAGCATTTTAAGAGTGGTGAGAGTCTCTTCTAATTTCCTGTTTTTCACAGGTATGCTTGATATATACATAAGACCGCGCCATCTATCAGCGCGAAGGGAGGAGAAGCAGTTAATGCGCGATTTCGCGCTTCGCGATCGCGTGGAGGGGAACAATAAAGTCTCTCCTTCACTTTTTTCAACCTTTTCTTCCAGCTCTCCATCGTCAGGTGAGAGAAGGTGCGCGATCACCTTTCAGTAACCGTCTCACCTTCATTCACACAAGACCGTTTGATCTTTCGCTGCGCGATCGCTGATCATTGTGCAATTCTGCGTGATCGATACAGTTAAGAGTTGTTGTGTTTTCGCGAATTCCACAAAAAGCGACTAATAAAACGCCAAAAAAAAAACACTTTTGGTGGGTTCAAGTGGGTGAGAAACTAAGTGATCATTTTCGCTAAAGACAGCACTAAAATCTTCCTTGTGTGGTGTTTTCACGAAAAACGCGCGAGCATTTGCGTGTGGAAATATTCCATGCTGGCGTAGAGACACTCGCATTTTGGTGCCTTAATTGCTTACTCCAATAAATCCATTACGAATGAGCGAGCAAGACTTATTTCAGCGGATTTCGGATTAATTACGTCGTCGATTTTTCCTGTACAGCAAAACTGGTGAGTTTTTTTTTGCACAGCATGTGAAGGTGAAGTTACACTTTGTATGCCTTTTCCTGCGTCTCGTCAGCCATTCCTTGAGATGGATCTTCTCCGACAACAGACACTGTCCAAGCCGGTTAGACGGATAGACAGATTGGAATTGCATGCAGTATTTTTTCTCTTTACGACACTGATCGCAATGGCAGAGGAACAAGAAATTGCTCACTTCGCTTGTATGAAAGCTTTTGACTCTTTTTGGCCATAAAGAATCCCAACTCGCGCACAAGCTGGGCAAAACAGAAGCCTTTATTTTAATTAGGAGGTTCATTCTCTTATTTATAATTGCCCCCATTCAGCTCATTGGAGGCTATTTTATGTCTGGAACCCGGTTTTCTTGACAAAGGTTGGCAGCTTTTTCTTCTATTTATAGGTAATCACGTTAAAATTGCAGATGTGATACACTTTTTTTTTGCAATTCCCTCCTCGGTTTACCTGGAAATCCTGCGCGCGCTAGCGTAAATTTAGAAATGCGATGTGCGGAAGATTCTTCACTTTTATCTCAACAAAACTGTCTCTCAAGTGAAGTGACACTGAATATGCTGGGATTTGTCGAACTGTCTTTGTTTAATCAAGTCTATGATTGAGTGGTTAAATGGATATTTGTAATTCTCGCACCTTCGCCGAAGAGACAATGACGGAGAATACATGCCCACATAGTGGCACAGACCCAAAACCATCACTCGTGAACTTTAGAAGGCATTAAGAATTCACGGTGTGTCTCAAATGTTCTTCTCCTGCTTGAGTGGGCATATTTTTAGAGTTTGATTTGACTTCTTTGTCCCCTCGATGGAGACACAAACTTGTAATATTGGCGCATATAGTGTTGGGAAAAATTGCAGATGATGAAGTTTATTTAAGCATATTTTTCAGGTGCGCAGGAAGAATTGCAAAGGAAGCATAATTTGTTATTCCAAAAGAGCGAATGAGCGAATTTTCCACGTGAGATGAAAAATTTGAGATCTGTGTGGAAAAAGTTGCTCAAGATTCTCAATTACACATGAAGTGGCAGATAAAAACATCCCTATGAAATTCTTCTGTGCTCTGGCAAACTTTGTCGTAATGAAACATTTACTGTTCTATTGAGTGTAATTTGAGAAAGCTTTAGGTGAGCGTACTTCCTTTTGGAACTTTTGATGTCCTCCAAAAACCCTCGCTGTGCTTTTTATGCTCTCTTCTCTCATGGAATTCTTCACAGCACGAGGAAGCACTATGATGACATTTTTGCACAAAAACACCATCCATTCCGTCGCTCAAACTCCTGTAAGTACATCTTAATCCCAGAGAAAGAGAGAGAGAGAGAGAGAGAGGGAGAGATGTACAGCAAAGCGATAGAATCGTGAATGGCTTCGACAACAAGTGAATGGTGTGGCTCCTCTTGTACAGCAAGAGGAATTGTATGTGTACAATCGATTCAAAGTATGAAATTCACCCATAAAATTTCATAACACCCTGGCAAATACCTTGGTAAGTTTTATTTGCTTACGGTATTTGTGATTCTTAAGCTGCGTGCAAATGTTGGCACAATATATAACAGTATTGATTTCTCATCAGCGCCATACTTTCGCCAATGTCACCTCAAGGAAGCTCTTAATTCCTCGAACATTCCATGTATTTTGACGAGTGAATGCCTTGACATGTGCACAATTCAATCAATATGATTTTCATTTGGAAAATGGCATGTTATAAGTCTCGCAGCAACACAAATTCCTCATGGAATTATTGGTTAGATCTTAAATTATTCCAACTGCAGAACTGCATTGAAATGTAACTTTGTCTGCACTCGCTTTTGATGTAAAACTACCCGATTTGAAGCCCCAACTGAACTTGATTGGGAAGTTTGACCGCAACTTACAAAGCTGGCCAATCAGTGGTTTTCACAAAAACACACCCTTAGAGCGCTTACAGACTTGTGGGTGATCCACGGGAGGTTCAGCGAGAGCGCGAGTGTGTACGATTTTTTGGGCTTCCCGATAACAGCGCGCTCGGGCGAAAATACGCCGAAACATTTAAAAACTCAGGAAAATCAAAATGGCAGATCTCTCGCGAATGATTTCCTGAGCTTAAAATCACCAAATTCTTCCGCAAATATTCCATTTTCGTAATTTTATCGTTCAATTTCACGCTTTTTGATAAAATAAAGCAATTGACAGCTGAGTGCGGAACGCAAAGCTAAATTGTCGCTAGTGTCGACAGAGAAGAATAACTCCTGAGTGTGTTTAGCGCCAGTGCAGCCACGAATAATTGCTATAATGACACACTCAAAGCACATTCACGTGCAGGATTGATCCCAATTCCCGTCGATTCGAGGATAACCCGCAAGTCTGTAATTGCACTTATAGAGACGAAAACATCCCCAAATCCAGTGTTTTTAATAGGAAATTAGCATTTTTTCTGCTCCATTGATCGAAACGCTGGAATCGTCATCTTATTTTTCCAACGAAAATCAAGCCCGAATTCATCTTCTTCCATAAAAGTTTCGAATTGAAAGCATATGAAGTGGAGATAAATGAATTTACGCACGACCCAGTAATTCTCAACCTCATCATTTATAGCCGCCCAATTTCAAAAGGAGTCATGTAAAAATCTGCTGATGGCTGGAATTTTACATAATTGTATTCTAAAAGTCTGGGCCAAAATCAAATTTGGCCGCATTCCAAGTTGCCACACAAAGAATCCCAACGCCCACAAACTAGTGGCTTATCATAATTTGTCGAGCCGAAGAGGTTCATTGGGAATCTAATTGCAGAGTTGTAAGAATCGTTGCGCGATTGGGTAAACTTTTGGCGATAATGTCAAGTTTGTCGTTGTCAATTAGCTCCGGAAAATTGCCTCTCTTTCAAAGTTTTCCCCGCGAAGGAGTCGCAATTAAGTCGGCCAACTTGCTATCTATTACACTTTTCTGCTTCTCCCTGTTTTCCGGTGGTGCGCTTATCCACAGTCCGCAGGGCAGAAACACAAGAAATTGTGGCTCAGAGAGTCCAATTGTTGACTCAGACGTAATTTCCATATTGTCCAAAATCCACCGAGATCAAAATCTTAAGTGGTGCGCTAAAGAGTTTGTCCAAAAATTGCCTCTTGAGCTCCACACAGGCCAACATCTTCATCTTGCGTCCGAGATTCTTCGAAGAGTATTAGAACAATGGCGAGGCAGAAACAGTTACGGCCATCCCAGATGATGTAACACACGATTGGAGCGGGATTTAGCCCGACACAGAATGGAAATCATACATTTTGACCATGATGCTCCAGCTCATTTCGTGGCCATTCTGCCTTTGATGAGATGAAGTGTACTGTGGCATTTTCACATGGAGCTCTGGCGAGGCAAACAAAGCCCAATAAATAATAGCTCGCAAACACACTCACTTTAATGGTATCCAAAAGCTCATTCCATGCCAGCATTTTGCCACCGATTTAATCTCAAGCCCCACAGACTGACGATATGTGGAATAATGGGTGAAATGCTGCTCAACAATATGGAAAACTCCTTATCACAAGTCCATTCGTCTCGGCGAAATGACCCACAAATAATCCCAGTATTAATTGGAAGAACGAAAGTGCGTTGAAAAATATTACCTCCAATTCTGCTCTTGCCTTGATTGCCCAGCGAGAGAGTGTAAAAATGCTCATTCAATGAGACAACGACCCATCAACACTCGCGCATCGCGAACGTTTCTACCACGATTGAATTGTAATTAAACGTGTGTGATGGCATTTCCTTTCTCCATCCAAATTCCGTCCCAGGGCAACTCGTGTTCCCACAGGAAAACCTTCAGCCAAGAGAGAGAGAGAGAGAGAGAATATGAGTGAAATGTGTACAACACTTCAGTCGCTTCTTTATTTATCATTATATATAGAATCTAGATAATTCTTCTTGTCTCAATCAGAGGTTAATTTGCGTAATATTCAGTGGTGAATTCTATCAATTCCACAAAATTGTGATCAAAATTCTCCCATTTGAAATGCCATGCATAATTGTGATCTAATTAGTGCACATATTTGATTTTCCGCAATAAAAATAACCATTTCAATTATCCATCATTCAAAATTAATTCTTATATTTATATTCGTTCGCATAATGAATTCCATCCAGAGCATTTTGGAATAGTTGAACTCATTTGGCTGCAATATTAATAACCCAACACAAAGTGAAGAACTATGAGAGCTAATGAGGGGTGTTTTCAGGAAAATTTAATTTAAACATAATTTACTGTAAATTCCACTTTCCATATCAATAAATGCCATGAAAGAGTAATAATGTTATTTGCAAAATATATGTATCATCAAAGTGAAATTGATCTCAAACGAGTGCATTTTGGAAAAATCTCGACATAAAATAATTAACCATCCGATAATTTCACACACTTCCTGCAAATGGAGCATATTGTGCTGTAAAATGCCTATGTAACCAATGAGTTCAACTCATTAATGGCCATTAAAGCTCAAATCTAACACACTTTGTATTTATTCAGCCATTTAATGTCCACTCCAGCGCCACTAGCGAGAGTGTAATTCAAAATTTGCCAACTGTGTGCTACATAATTAACCGTGTTGTGCATGCTCGATATTTGATATAATCAGCGATGTAATTTGCAAAAGTCCGCCCAATATTAATTGGAATTGTGCTAAATCAATATGTATCCGAAAGCTAGTGGCAAGTGGAATTATCCATAAGTTCCTCTGCAAACAGTTGAGTGCGTTTGAAACTACATAAAATATGAGTTTCTGAACTCATTTCCTCATGCGATTGACCGTGATTTGCCGTAATCTAGAAAACACACTCACCAAAATCTAATGGCCGAACTTCAATTCGTGTTAAAGCAATATTTATTCTGAAAATATTTCCACTCGCCTGGCCGGCTCTCGGTAGTCAAATCCACGCTTCAGAAAATATGCCCGCCACTTTGGGTAAACATCAGACCGGGGGCATCTCTACCCTTCCCAAGGGGGAGATAATACGT